ATGCGATTGCTTCGATTGAGCTTTTGGATCGAGTCGCGGACCGCCTTGCTCGGCAAGAAAACTCTTGAGACTAAGCTATTTTTAATGAGGAACTCTTCTTTCCATCACATCCTGGGTATGGTGGCCTTCATGCTGCTAAAAGAACTATGGATTTCTACATGTTTATGAACAGTAAAGTCCTATTTAAAACAGTGAGAAAAGATGACAAACTGAAGAAGTTAAAGCCTGTTATTGTTCATGTGAATTACCACCTGGATAAACTTCAAAGAATGAAAGCAGTCGTCGAATTCTACATCGATGGCAAGCGAGACGCATTGGACTCTTTCCCGGATGGTTCAGAATAACAGTCGCACAGCAGCGGATCTCATGCTATTCTGATGGATCGGCTCGTCGGTTCGGTTGTTGTTGCAGAGTCCCTTGATAGGGGAAAGTTAAATCTTGTTAAGGGTTTTACTTTTTTTTTTGTGATGATGATGAAGACTTGTTGCATTGTCTGCCACATAGTTTGTGTGATATTCCCTTGAAAATTTACCTTTTTGTTGTCCGAAATTGCAATGAAAATGTAAAGGAAAACACGGTGTCTGGGGTCCTTTTACAACAGTTACAATGTTTATAAATTCCTGAATCGACCATCACAAGCTATTACTTTCATTCCAAATCAACAGAAATTTAATTCTTCCTGGTTAAAATATGGATTTGCAAATCAATAAATTTTCATTTGAATTATGAAATAGAATTAAAAGACATATTTTTTTGGATAATTTGATTTTTATTACTCATCACCCCCTACTAACAACCTAAGTAACTAGTTATTTCAAAAACAACTCAACCAAAGACAAACAAACGAAGATGTAAAACAACAAACAACAAAATGAGGAAGCAAACTCCCCATGAATCAGCCGCCCTTAGGCCCCTCACATCTGTAGATGAGTAACCAGACAAACACACAACAATTCAATAACAACCAATAAATTAACCAATGTTCCATTCCAAACAAAGCTGAAGATTAACCCTATCAGATTTGTTTATGCTACAACCATGTAACTTAGCACTAACAGACCTCCTGATACTTTCAAAAATTTCATCTGCTACCCGAGAGCAGCCTCTAAAATTCCTAGAGTTACGTTCTTCCCAGACAAAATACAAAAAACAAATCCAAGCTAGCTTCAAGATACAGACAAGCAAGGATTTTCCCTTGAAATTGGCTTCTGCCCAAGCCAAGGCATCATTCCAACATAATACCATGTAGGAAATTCTATAGGCCTGCAAAACCTTACTCCATACCCCCTGCAAAAGCACAGTCATTGAACAAGTGGTCTCTGTTTTCTAACCCAACACTATAGAGATCACAACGCCTATCCAACTCCATTCTCATACGAATGAGTCTGTCTTTAGTAGGGAGCCTATTTAAAGCAACCATCCAAGCAACAATTGACATTCTTGGATATGTAGAGAGAACCAGATCAGATGTTCCCACCTTACCTTCTCCATCTTGTCCCTCATTTTCTCCCATACCCAGCTGCTTTTAACCATACTCCAATCCATCACATTGCCAAATAAGTCAGCTGCTTCATTCCTGAGCTTAAGCAACCTCCTCAATATCCAACTAAGTTGGGGCTTGTAGCTAGCCTCCCAAAAAATAGCCCCCTTCAGGGCATACTCTTTGACCCATGTAACACCCCCAACCAGTATCCGACCCGGATCCGAGTCCGAGGTGTTACATCAATTTTTAAAACTTTTACTTATTTAAAAGAATGAAAATTTCTCGTAAAAAAAGTTCATATTATTTCATCATAAAAGTTTAGAAACTTATCAGAGCATATACTATTCAAATCATTTATATTACATGCCAACTATATCTAAAAGAATCAAATACATATCAAACATTTCTTTTATGATCTGAAACATTGTAAGGAATATGCTGACATGTCTTGCTCTTTTTAGATTCTCTTCTCACTTCTGTAACCTACGTGTGAAACAATCACACGCTAAGTCTATGATTTAGTGAGGCATAATTAAATTTACTATAACATACCATTTCTAATTGCTATTTTGCACACTTCATGTAGACTTCATAAACTATGGAATGCATTATGTATCAAACATAACTACAGACATATGCACATCAATTCTTTATTTTTATTATAATTCTTATCATTATCATTGATTTCTTTAATCATATTTCCTTTTACTCATCATGCCTACACATCATATAACACATATATAACTGTACCAATTAACAAACGTATCATCATGAGATTTCTGTAACACACTTAACATTACCAAACATACATATCACATATAGTGTATTTGTTATTATCTCTTGATTAGCCCATGTATACCGTGAGAACTATAGATATGTGAGTCTATTGAGGTTGTACACTAATGCTGTCACCACAGCTCGTATAAATGCACCGAAGTGCCATGTAGAATTGCACTGTAGTGCCGTGTAGAATTGTACCGAAGTGCCATATAAGATTGTCCCTAAAGACCACGTAGAAAATTCCTTAAGAACCATATACATATACCAAGGATCAAGTATGTATCTCAAAAGGCCTCACACATGTTCCAAAGAATACATATATGTCCCGAAAGACCGCGTAGACCCTCGACTCTTGGCATGCCAACTACACATCTAGCTTTCATGTCACATAACATGGGCAGTAATAGTTATGTTATCACACATTCACATATGCACGTAGTCTCATAGTTCTTTCACATAGCTCACTATCATATAACTCACAAATCACATATACATATAGACACATGGTTCACTTACACGTAGAACATTTTCATATGATTCACCTATCATATGTACTTTCTCTTTCATATATCTCATATCACATAGCTCATATTACTTTGCATGGATTACAAAAACATATATATTATCATGTTTATCATCTAGGTTCATTTACTTAATCTTTTATACGTGTATATCACATATTCATATCATTCATTCAAATCATGTCATACACATACAATAACATATAGCTCAGACACTCATAGCAAATACATGCTCAGGTTCATGAATTTATGCATAACACTATAGGAAATAGACTTATCGCAAGTCTTATTTCCATTCAACATCATATGTTATCTAATATGCACTCACCTTGGCCTCACTAAGTTCCAATCCACTTTTATGATTTCCTTTCTTTCGATTGAACCATAACTTGATAATCGTTCCAGAACTTGTTCGTGCTCGATATCTACATAAATATATATTTTAAGGTAATTATCATATATCTACACCTTGTAATTTGATGCTAATAAGTTGAATGAATTTAACAGACCAATATTCACTTTTTCCTTTAGGGGTGTACCGATGCACTATAGGTGCAACGGTATACAAAATAGTGCATCGTGCACCTTCCCAGAAGCGGCTGTTTTTACCCAAAAATTATCAACACTTCACTCAATTTTCCAGTATTAAGCCCTAGTTATGCTACCAAACTTAACTCTGATCACTTTAACCAACTTCTATCATTCCAATACCTTATTTTCTTCCATATATTTCCCAAATCCTTAAAACCAAGAATCTTACCCCATTTTCCATGTTATCTAAACTTAATTCTAATTCTTATAACTTCTTATTCTCATAGATGACAAGTCAAATTCGACTTCCAAATTCATTTAAACCTTCTATTTCAATAATCCACTTAAAAACTCCTTTTTCTTAATCTCTCATAACTTCTTTATTCTTTGATTTTAAGATGACTTAAGCTTTCCTTAAGTATCACCTAAGGTTTAAAACCTTCGCTTAAAATCAACAAATAATCAATTACCCAAAAAACTTACCTTTTCTTTGATCTCTCATGTATGAGGAAGAAAGAGGGAGAAAAAGAAAACTCTAGAATCAAATTGGCCTTTCTTTCCTCTTCCACGTGAGTTAATTCCTTATAAAAGAATTATAAAAATCTTCCTTGCAAAATGACCCATACTACCCTTATTATTTTCAAACTTCATTTAAATCCATCAAAATTCTCCAATTAAATCTTTGAACTTTTAACTTATTTCGAAATTGAACATTAAGTTTTCAAAATTTGCATTTAAGTCACTGACCCATCTTTTGGGATGTTACAAATCTCCCATCCTTTTAAGAAAGTTCATCCTCGAATTTTCACAGCACACCCTAATAAGATCATATCTTTTAATGTTCTCATGTTGCGTTCTGTACCTTATTCCTTCACCATTACAATTATTGATTTACCTTTAATTTTCAAAAACTTAATTTATTTCTATCTTTTCTCTTATTCTATTGTACACTTACTCTTAACCCTTGAACATACATATCATGCTACTTATCATATACATATTAAAATTCGCTCTTATTACTCAAGATTATAAATCAATTGATTTCATTCGTTAAAATATAATTGTCTTACAATAAAAACCCAACCTTAATCCTTCCAAATATCATGCTTATTCTCGATAACTGGATCAACATACTATATAATTTAACTGTCATTTGAACTTTCTTAACGCCTATAAGTCATTTTTTATTCCTCTGACTATGTCTTCTTGACCAAGAAACATAACCTTAACCTTCATCATATATCATTAACTATACATTTAACAAATTAAACCATCTCTTTATATCACTTTACATACCTTTCTTATTTCTGTATCAAACTTTATAATCTATTCGTTCATAATCCTCGTCACCCTTAATCTTAAAACTACATCTTTTATTTTCCTTATCCGCTTATCCTTCATAATCAAATCTACTTATAACATACCTAAATTATATATTTTGTCTACACTCTCATACTCTTTAATCTCTCTTATAATTATCCCTGATCACCTATCTTTATCATATTCATATACTTCTGATAGTCAACACTACTTGCACAAATTTTCTTCTAACATAGAATCCTTGCCTTCTTTACTCTTCAATTCTTCTTATCATATAGATCATATCTTTTCTTCCTGTTCCAAACTCTTTTATACTCATTTCTCAAACTTTTCTATTACTCTTTATCTTCTCTTAAACATTCAAATCCTTATCTTCTTCATTACATCCCATTACATAACTAAAATATACATTGTATTCAAATCCACTGCATATTTGGTTATCATAACCTGAAAATATCTTATATTTCCAATACATTTACCTCACATAATTTTTTTAGCTATTGCTAACTCTTTCCATCTATAATGCAAATCCCTTAACATATCCACACTCTTGCTTATACACAATACTATTTATACGTCTACTATTCTTTTTTACATATCACCTCTTCAATAAATCTTTCGTGCTATCATAAACTTCATTTCATTACTTTAATTCTTTCATTACCTTTCCCCCTATGCTTTTACATTACTTTCATGTCATTTATACTTTTCATTCTTTATCCTTTTAACTTTTCTATCAATCCTTAGTTTCCGTCAAACATGCAAATCCTTTAACCTTAATACATTCACTATCACACTACTTTATTATTCAACTTATTTCTTTAAATCCAAACATAAACCTTCATCAAACTATCCATATATATATATTCTTTACAGTCGAAATAATTTATTCACTATTTCCATTACTTATCAAACCTTCATTCTCATTCGTCAATAATACAATTCCTTTGGTTAGAATTCAACTATTCCATTTACCTTTGTTTTATAACTGATCACTGATATACATATTCTTAAACCCTTCCTTGATCTTTTAATATTCTCCAATTAACATCAATCTCTTCCATTTTATCTTGTCCATGTTATAAAGAAGCTATTATATTTCAGAACGATAAAGTTCCTTTAATACTATAATTTCCAATCCATCTGAATTGATTGACTTTATTCTCTGGCGGAGAATACAACTAATTCATATCTAGTTTAATGTTGAAAACCATAATCTCTACCTTTCTTTGATGGTGCTTAACTTTATGAAGCACTAATTCTCTTAATCATCTGTGATTTTTGTTCTCCAATCCTTTCATTTTGAGCTTTGCTAAAGCTTTAAACGATTATCCATTTCTTGAAACGAGAACAAATTCAAAACCAGTAACACTCTTTTAATTTAAGGCACAAACCCTAAACAACCAATCACATATGTCCTTCTTAATCGGAATTAACTCAGTAACAAATCCGCTTAACTTATTAAACTTACTTCCATACACATACATGTGTAATTCCCTTGCTTCAATATCATATATTCAAGCTTCATTTGTCTTATGAATTGGTCATCCATGTACTTTATTCTTGAACTCTTCTACAATCAATAACCACATCACTTGATCTTTTAAAGTTCTTATGGTGACATTTGTCCACCATACACTAGCTTGCCCACGTAGTAACGAAACTACTCAATTTAACTTCTTCAATTTGAAGAAATTAAAACATTCTAACATTATCTTCCTATCATTTAATCAAATTTCTATAACAATAGAACATTTCTCAAATTCACCCTTGAACTCGGGTGTTCTCAACTCTTTTTGATACATTCACTCTATGAATTATAGAAGTATAAAATTGGAAACACATCAAAATATCATTCAACATCATGAAGACATTCCCTAATCTTGTACAGGCACTCCCTGAGGTTTTCGCTCTTCTCCCTGCCTGGCCAGGGCAGGTGAATGCTATTACCTTCAGGTCTATCGCCTTATGCTTCACTTTGAAAATTCTTATGATCATACATCTAATATAACATAACACTTTAACTCTATTATCAAGACAATATACTCCTTACACTATCATATCAGAAAATTTTTCACTTTGTGTTGGCATGTATACTTTTTAAAACACTTTTGACTTCATTTTTAGCCTAGAATCGGCTAAACCGTAGATCTGATACCATTAAATGTAACACCCCAACCCGTATCCGACCCAGATCCGAGGTGTCACATCAACTTTTAAAACTTTTACTTATTTAAAAGAATGAAAATTTCTCGTAAAAAAACTTCATATTATTTCATCATAAAAGTTTTCATATTATTTCATCATAAAAGTTTACAAACTTATCAGAACATATACTATTCAAATCATTTATATTACATGCCAACTATATCTAAAAGAATCAAATACATATCAAACATTTCTTTTCTGATCTGAAACATTATAGGGAAGATGTTGACCTGTCTTGCTCCTCTTAGATTCTCTTCTCACTTATGTAACCTACGTGTGAAACAATCACACACTAAGTCTATGACTTAGTGAGGCATAATTAAATTTATTATAACATATCATTTCTAATTGCTATTATGTATACTTCATGTAGACTTCATAAACTATGGAATGCATTATGTATCAAACATAACTACAAACATATGCATATCAATTCTTTATTTTTATTATAATTCTTATCATTATCATTGATTTCTTTAATCATATTTCCTTTTACTCACCATGCATACACATCATATAGCACATATATAACTTAACACAAACGTATCATGAGATTTCTATAACACACTTAAATTGTTATTATCTCTTGATTAGCCCATGTACACTGTGAGAACTATAAATATGTGAGTATTGAGGTTGTGAACTAATGCTGTCATCACAGCTCGTATAAATGCACCGAAGTGCCACGTAGAATTGCACCGTAGTGCCGCGTAGAAATGCACCGAAGTGCCATATAAGATTGTCCCTAAGGACCACATAGAAAATTCCTTAAGAACCATATACATATACCAATGATCAAGTATGTGTCTCAAAAGACCTCACACATGTTCCAAAGAATACATATATGTCCCGAGGACCGCGTAGACCTCGACTTTAGCATGACAACTATACTCTAGCTCTCATATCACATAACATGGGCAGTAATAGTTATGTTATCACACATTCACATATAACGTAGTCTCATAGTTCTTTCACATAGCTCACTGTCATATAACTCACATATCATATACATATAACTATGGTTCACTTACACGTAGAACATTTTCATATGATTCACCTATCATATGTACTTTCCTCTTTCATATATCTCATATCAACATAGCTCATATTATTTTGCATGGATTATAAAACATATATTATCATGTTTATCATCTAGGTTCATTCACTTAATCTTTATACGGTATATCACATATTCATATCATTCATTCAATCATGTCACACACACAATAACATATAGCTCAGACACTCATAGCAAATACATGCTCAGGTTCATGAATTCATGCATAACACTATAGGAAATAGACTTATCGCAAGTCTTATTTCCATTAAACATCATATGTTATCTAATATGCACTCACATTGGCCTCTCTAAATTCGAATCCACTTTTATGATTTCCTTTCTTTCGATCGAACCATAACTTGATAATCGTTCCGAAACTTGTTCGTGCTCGATATCTACATAAATATACATTTTAAGGTAATTACCATATATCTACACCTTGTAATTTGATGATAATAACTTGAATGAATTTAACAGACCAATATTCACTTTTTCCTTTAGGGGTGTACCGATGCACTATAGGTGCATCGGTACATAAAATATCTTCGAAAATACCATGTATCGATGCCTTCTAATGTACATCGATGCATATTCAAAATTATTCTTAGTGCATCGGTACACATTCATAGTGCATCGATGCACCTTCCCAGAATCGGCTGTTTTTACCCGAAAATTATCAACACTTCACCCAATTTTCCAGTATTAAGCCCTAGTTATGCTACCAACCTTAACTATGATCACTTTACCACTTCATCATTCCAACCCTTATCATATATTTTCCCAAATTGTGAGCTTTTTCAGAAAATTGAAAGAAATTGCACAGCGATTTAGAGTGGTTCGACTTTATCAACCAAAGTCTACGTCTACTACCTTAGCTATCCACACTAAGGATTTTCCAACAAATTCACTAATTTGTTCTTTATTTTGAGGCCAAAGAGATAACCTTACAACTCCCTCAAGAATATACCCCAATTCTTGAGAACACTCTTTTCTCAAAGAGAAATACAAATTTGCAAACTTATAAGAAAAACCTCACAAGACAAATATGTTTGCACAATTCTAGAACAAAGAAAGAACACTCAAGAATAAATACAATTGGGCACAATAAGTGTTCTTGAAATCAAAATGAATATTGAATGAAAAATAGGCTTGAAATGCTTAAACTTGAGGTTTGATGTTTTCACTTTTATTCTCTCTTGATTCTAATTGTTTGATGTTTCTTGTTATTGATCAATGGCTTCTAAGCTTGCTTAAATAAACCTTGAATCACTTCTGAACGTTGGGGATGATTAGAGAAAATAATATAGCTGTTTTAGTGTGAAAACAATAAATAAAACAGCTTGGAGCGTGGGGGGAATCGGTACCCCCTATGGGGAATCGGTTCCCTAAGTATAAAATTCAAATATTTCGACTGTTATACAAGGGGGAATCGGTACCCCCTGGGGGGGAATCGGTTCCCTCTGAGCAATCTGGAATTTTTGGTTTTGAAATGGTTCGAAATACTTTGTAAAATTATTTTGAAATTGTTTTAAGATTAAAACTTAATTTTACACTTGAGTAAGGATTAAAAATGATCTTTGAAAGATTTGGAGTAATGTTTTGATATTCGAATAATTCTATCGAATATACTTATAAAAAATCATTTGGAAAATTTTAAAATTCATTTAACTTAATTTTTTATATCGAAATATCAAAATGTTTTCAACAATCTCCCCCTTTTTGATATAGCAAAACATTTTAGAAACATTTTAGTAATTTTAAGATTTTGAAATCAAGTTTTGAAATTACTCCCCCTTACTTTAACACTTCTCCCATTTATCATTTAAAAACACATTTAACACTTCTCACCCTTTTTGTTAAATCAAAAAGACATTTTAAAGAATTAAACAAGGTTTTGAAATCATTTATCCAATTGATTATTTTTTAAGCTGCTAAGATCACAAGCAAGAGAAACGTTAGTCATTAGTTTCATAATAAATATTCATAATTAATGTGACATGGCAAAATTGGTCATATATCTAATCATGAAGTAAATGATGCAATAATGAATAAATTTAATCACACCAAATAGATAATTTCTAACCATTCATAAATCCAAACAAATTCAAAGTCAATCAATCCACAAATTCAAACATTGCAAAATATTCAAAATGTTAAAACAATAAGTTTGGATTTCAAAGCAAAACATAGAATCACATATCAGGATCAGGAGGAGGAAAACGAGCTCGCATAGCGGCCATTTCGTGAGTGAGATCATTAATACGCGCGTTGGTTGCTTCATTGTTTGCACGCATCTCCCGAAGAATTTCTAATTGTTGAGCTCCCATTGTGGATAAGTGTGACTCTATAGAAGAAAAGCATGAATCCATGGTAGCGTATCGGAAATCGAATGTCTCCATAAAGGATTGAAAATATGGAGGCATTTGATGCGTTTGTTGTGCTTGCTCTTCGGGCTGCTCCTCGGGCTGCTCAGGCTCATCTTCGGCTTCATCGATGTCTCGTATTAATTGCTCAAGCTCGAGATCTTCGTCAGCTTCGGGTGGAGCTTGTGAAGAACTAGCTCCCGGAGTATTTACAGAAGATCGAACCCATTCACCAGTTTCCTTATCCTTAATCCATCACACTCTCATTAAGGAAATAAGGTTAATTTGTTTCTTAAGGGGAAAAACGGCATCTAGACCGACTCTAAGCCTAGCTTTGGAAAACAGATTACTTAAAATGCAACCGTAAACAAGAGATGAACAGAGTTTCTTGTTAGGAACAAGATTTACGGTTTCAACAATTTCAGCAAAAATAATCTGAGGTAGGTTAATTTTAATATTGTTTTCGAAACAATGTAACCACCAAAGATCTAAGGCTCTAAGAGTAGAATAACGACCTCCGGATGGTCGAAACCACCAAGAAATCATTAGATGAAGAAAACGTTCATGAAGGTCTAATGACACTTGCACTATCCCTTCTTTTATAACGAGATCCTAAAACCTGTTTTTCATTTGAAATAGCATCATTATCTAATCCGAATGTATTGGATATGTAAGCCGAGTCAATATATAAGAATTGTCATAGGAGGTAGGAACGAATTCCTATGGTTTCGGTTTCAGTTTGGTTTTTAACACAAACGGCATTAGAATAGAAAATACGAACAAGTTGATGGTAAACGATGGGTTCAAGATCAAAGAGTTTATCAAATTTCCACTCTTGTAAAAGAGGAAGATATTTAAAATTAATAGCTAACATAGCTTGACGAGAAGGAATACGTTCTTCCCGGATTTTGTAAGAGTCGAAATATTGATAATACCAAAAACGATGATTTCTAGGACCAGGATGATTGAAGCACGAATTTTGGATAGTCAAATTAGGATCAATGGGATTAGGATTAGGAATTGGATTTTGAGGATTTGGAGGTGGATTTGGTTGACGGTATGAGCGACTAGATGATGACCTAGTACGTTTAGGATTGGACATGGTTTAGGAAATCGGAATAGAATGGATAACCTGCAATTTAGAAAACACATATATGCAATTCAATCAATCCAAAACTCAATTGAGTCCTCAATATTTCAAGGTTCTCTAAATCAATCCTAATGGGCAAAGTTTTTGAAAACTTTTGAAAAATACGGTTTTGAGAAACAATATAGTTTTTATAACAATAACATAATTCAATCAAAACACAATAATTTGAAAATCAACATTTTTTTTTGAAAATTTAAATTTTTTTGGAAAAATTCTTGTGTTTTTGATGAAATTAGTTGTGATATCTAGTTTCTAATCACTAAAAAATCAATGCCCAATCTAAAGTTCATCCTAGAACTAATTAAAACTAGTTCTATGTTCATAAATTGATGAAATAGAAGTTTTAGAAAAATACCTTAAAGGATTTCGTATTTGAGTGAGATTAGATGAAGTTTGCACGTTTTTGATGATTTCAACAAGTTTAGAAGATGATATTTGAAGTGAATTTCGATTAAGAACGTTGATTTGAGGCAAGAATGGAGATAGGGAGAGAGTTTAGAGGAAACGGCGGCAAGGAAGAAAAGGGTTTTGAACAAAAATAAGGGTTTTGAACAAAAATAAAGGTTCTACCCCCTGTATAATCAGAACCCCAGGGGGGTATCGATTCCCCTGTGGGGGGAATCGATTCCCCTTCAAAGGGGTAATTGGTTCCCTCATGGGGGGATTGATTCCCTCTGCACCAAAATGTTAAAATCCGATTTTAAACACCCAAAATGCTAAATTAATTTCCTATAATGGTATTGGCAACTCATATATTGAAAATTAATCATGTTCAAACAATTAAATTAATCTTTAAACGATATTTAAACATAAAATTAATTTTTCATTAAGAATCATAAACTCCCCCTAACTAATAGTAATGAATGCAATCAAAAATTACTTTTATAAGCATTTTTTATATACTCTTAAAAGTGCTAAAATTATTTTTAAACACTAAGTGAAGATAGGTTGGTCAAACCTAATTCTCTCCTAAGTGTCCAAAATCTTTCCTTGTCTAAAGGTTTTGTGAAGATATCCGCTAATTGGTGCAAAGTATCAACAAATTCTAGAACTACATCTTCCTTAGTGACATGGTCTCTAATGAAGTGATGTCTTATTTCAATGTGCTTAGTTCTAGAGTGTTGGATGGGATTTTTAGTGAGACAAATAGCACTAGTATTGTCACACTTGATAGGAATGGTACCTACTTCAATTCCATAATCAAAAAGTTGTTATTTCATCCATAAAACTTGTGCACAGCAACTACCAGCTGAAATGTATTCGGCTTCAGTGGTAGATAATGCAACACAATTTTGTTTCTTTGAAAACCAAGAAATTAGCATATTTCCAAGGAATTGGCAAGTACCGGAGGTGCTTTTCCTATCTAATTTGCATCATCCACAATCCGCATCAGAAAAAGCATGCAAGCTAAAGCTAGAGTCTCTAGGATACCAAAGTCCTAAGCTAGGAGTGTCCTTAAGGTATCTAAAGATTCTCTTAACAGCTAGTAAATGTGATTCCTTAGGACATGATTGAAATCTAGCACATAAGCAAACACTAAACATAATATCCGATCTACTTACAGTTAGATAAAGTAGAGATCCAATCATTGACCTATATAATTTAACATCTACACATTTACCTCATTCATCTAAGTTAAGCTTTGTTGAAGAGCTCATTGGAGTGTCATGCGGTTTGCCATTTTCCAGTCCAAACTTCTTGAGCATATCTTTGACGTACTTAGCTTGATTGATGAATATGCCATCTTTTCTTTGCTTGATTTGGAGTCCCAAGAAAAATGAGAGCTCCCCCATCATGCTCATCTCAAACTCACTTTGCATTAGCTTAGAAAATTCTTGGCAAAGAACATCATTAGTAGAACCAAATATTATATCATCAACATAAATTTGAACTACTAATAAACATTTACCTTTATGCTTCAAAAACAATGTAGTGTCAACCTTCCCTTTTGAAAAACCTTTTTCAATTAAAAATTTGACAATCTTTCATACCAAGCTCTAGGAGCTTGTTTTAAACTATAAAGAGCTTTTGTCAATTTAAGAACATGGTCCACAAATTTTGAATCTTCAAAACCTGGAGGTTGTTCTACATACACTTCTTCCTTTATAAAACCATTTAAAAATGCACTTTTAACATCCATTTGATATAATTTAAATTCATGAAAACATGCAAATGCTAATAACATTCTAATTGCTTCTATCCTAGCTACGGGAGCATATGTTTCATCATAGTCTATGCCCTCTTCTTGAGTATACCCTTGAGCAACAAGTCTAGCCTTGTTTCTCACTATATTACCACTCTCATCAAGCTTATTCCTAAATACCCATCTAGTACCTACAGTAGATTTATTACTAGGCCTTTCAACTAATGTCTATACTTTACTTCTCTCAAATTGATTTAATTCATCTTGCATAGCCATAATCCAATGTTCATCTTTTAATGCTTCTTTGATGTTCTTAGGTTCTATGCATGAAATAAATGCAACATAATTACAAATATTTCTAAGAGAAGATTGAGTTGTTACCCCTTTGGATGGATTACCTATAATTTCACCATCCTTGACATAGTTGTACTCTCTTGGATAAGATACTTACCTTTCTTCAATGGTTGGATTCTCAAGAGGATCATGAGTTTCCTCATTTTTCATTTCTTCCTTTGATGATGGTTCTCCAACGTCATGTCTAACGTCATTTGCATTTATAACACCTAGATCATCATTCACACAAGAATCCTTCCTCGAAAGGGGATTATCATCGAAAACAACTTGTATAGACTCTTCTACAACTAAAATTCTTTTATTAAATACTCGATAAGCTTTAGAATTTAAGGAATAACCCAGAAATATTCCTTCATCACTTTTAGCATCATATTTGCCAAGGTTCTCTTTACCGTTGTTTAAAACAAAACATTTACATCCAAAAGGATGAAAATAACTAATGTTAGGCTTTTTATTTTTGAAAATTTCATATGGATTTTTCTTTAAAATTGGCCTAATCATTACTCGATTTACAACATAACAAGCGGTATTTGTGGCTTCCGCCCAAAAATATTTTGGCAAATTATTTTCACAAAGCATGGTTCTAGCCATTTCTTCTAAAGTTCGATTTTTCCTCTCAACAACTCCATTTTGTTGAGGGGTTCTAGGTGCTGAAAAATTATGGCTAATACCATTAGAATTACAAAATTCAATAAATCCAAGATTTTCAAATTCAGTTCCATGATCACTTCTAACACTAGTGATAGAGTAACCTTTTTCGTTTTGGATAATTTTTGAAAATGTGATGAAATGTTCTAATGCTTCATCTTTTGTACTTAAGAATAGAACCCAAGTATATCTAGAATAGTCATCTACCAAGACAAATGCATATTATTTTCCACCCAAGCTAGTAGTTCAAGTTGGCCCAAAAAGATCTAAATGGATCAATTGTAAAACTCTAGTAGTTGATACATCATTAATGGATTTAAAAGAAACTCGCTTTTGTTTTCCTTTAGCACAAGCATCACAGATTTTATCATTATCAAATTTAAGCTTAGGCAACCCTCGAACTAAATCACCTTGAATTAGCCGTTGCAAAACACTCATACTAGCATGTCCTAGTCTCCTATGCCATAACAAATCATCATGCTCATCCCTAGAAACTAGGCACAAAATAGTCATATTAATAAAATCTAAATGCATCATGTATATATATATATATCCCTATTTTATGACCAACAATCTTTTTGCAGAAAATTGAAAGAAATTGCACAGCGATTTAGAGTGGTTCGACTTTATCAACCAAAGTCTACGTCCACTACCTTAGCTATCCACACTAAGGATTTTCCAACAAATTCACTAATTTGTTCTTTCTTTTGAGGCCAAAGAGATAACCTTACAACTCCTTCAAGAATATACCCCAATTCATGAGAACACTCTTTTCTCAAAGAGAAATACAAATTTGCAAACTTACAAGAAAAACCTCACAAGGAAAATATGTTTGCACAATTCTAGAACAAAGAAAGAACACTCAAGAGTAAATACAATTGAGCACAATAAGTGTTCTTGAAAGCAAAATGAATATTGAATGAAAAATAGGCTTGAAATGCTCAAACTTGAGGTTTGATGCTTTCTCTTTGATTCTCTCTTGATTTTAATTGCTTGATTTTTCTTGTTATTGATCAATGGCTTCTAAGCTTGCTTAAATACACCTTGAATCACTTCTGAACGTTGGGGATGATTAGAGAAAATAATATAGCCGTTTTAGTGTGAAAACAATTCATAAAACAACTTGGAGAGTGGGGGGAATCGGTACCCCCCTATGGGGAATCGGTTCCCTAAGTGTAAAATTCAAATATTTCGACCGTTATGCAAGGGGGAATCGGTACCCCCTGGGGGGGAATCGGTTCCCTCCGAGCATTCTGGATTTCTCGGAGCCAAACCATTCAGGGGGAATCGGTACCCCCTTGGGGGGAATCGGTTCCCTCTGAGCAATCTGGAATTTTTGGCTTTGAAATGGTTCGAAATACTTTGTAAAATTATTTTGAAATTGTTTTAAGATTGAAACTTAATTTTACAATTGAGTAAGGATTAAAAATGATCTTTGAAAGATTTGGAGTAATGTTTTGATATTCGAATAATTCTATCGAATATACTTAGAAAATCATTTGAAAAATCTTAAAATTAATTTAACTTAATTTGTTATATCGAAATATCAAAATGTTTTCAACACAAATCCTTAAAACCAAGAATCTTACCCCATTTTCCATGTTATCTAAACTTAATTCTAATTCTTATAACTTCTTATTCTCATAGATGACAAGTCAAATTCGACTTCCAAATTCATTTAAACCTTCTATTTCAATAATTCACTTAAAAACTCCTTTTTCTTAATCTCTCATAACTTCTTCATTCTTTGATTTTAAGATAACTTAAGTTTTCCTTAAGCTTAAGTATCACCTAAGGTTCAAAACCTTCTCTTAAAATCAACAAATAATCAATTACCCAAAAAACTTACCTTTTCTTTGAGCTCTCACGTATGAGGAAGAAAGAGGGAGAAGAAGAAAACTCTAGAATCAACTTGGTCTTTCTTTCCTCTTCCACGTGAGTTAATTCCTTATAAAAGAATTATAAAAATCTTCCTTGCAAAATGACCATACTACCCTTATTATTTTCAAACTTCATTATTAAATCCAACATTAAAACTCTCCAATTAAATCTTTGAACTTTTAACTTATTTCGAAATTGAGCATTAAGTTTTCAAAATTTGCATTTAAGTCACTGACCAATCTTTTGGGATGGTACAACCTAGGCCACCCAAAATGACCCAGCATTTGTTAAAATATTTCTGATCAGTAGAAAACAGTACACCTTGTTCCAACAACCTAAACTCTTTAAGCCTAAACCACCTTCAGACTTTAACCATCACATTTACTACCAGCTAACTTTTACCCCCTAGCTGATGCATCATCACCCTTCCAGAAGAACCTTATACAGAGCTGCTCAACCTATCTGTTGGCCTCATAAGGCAAAACTAGTAATTTGATATACTGAATAAGACAAACTGAATGAGTTACAGTCTGCCACCATAACTCAACTTCAACTTGGACCACACACTCAATTTACTTCTAATCTTATCAATCAAAGGGATACAGTCTTTAACAGTTAATTTCCTAGTGACTAATGGCACACCAAGGTACCTAACAGAAAACTTGAAACCAGTAGTTGCCTGCACTATGTTCAAAACATCTTCCTGCACCCCACAAGTATGCAGTTTAGATTTTCCAGCGTTTAGCTGCAACCCAAACAACTCATAAAAAACCCCAAGGACCCCAACAACACTCAATATTGAGTCCTCAGAACCATGAAAAAAAATGAGTAAGTCATCAGCAAAGCTAAGGTGGGTAAGAGAAACACATTTACATTTGGGGTGGAACCGAATTAATCATTCCCTAGCAGTAACATTTAACAAGTGGGACAATACATTCAAAACAAGAACAAAGAGGTAAGGGGACAGTGGATCACCCTGTCTTATTCCCCTCCTCCCTTTAAAATAGCCCATTAAACTCACATTGAAGGCCACAGAAAACCTTGCACCAGTTACACAAGCAATAATCCAACCCCTAAACATCTCAGGAATCCCTAAAGAAGCAAGTACTTTCATAAAAAATTCCAACATATAGAGTCAAAAGCCTTCATTAGGTCAATTTAAGGGCACACCTAGGCGAAAGTGAACTGTTAGAATATCCCCTAACAATCTCCTGGGCTAACAGTGTGTTATCTACTATACTACGCCCCTTAATGAAAGCAGACTGATTTGGCAGAATCATGTCTGGGAAGTAACTAACCAAACGATTTACAAGAATTCCAGTTATGGTTTTATAAACAACCGAGCAGCAAGAGATAGGGTGAAAATCCTTAGCCATACATGCATTGGGAGACTTAGGCACCAAGACAATGGTTGTAGCATTAAAAGTAGGAAGCAGAGAACCAATCTGGAAAAACTCTCTAATGGCAGCTAAAAAATCCACTTGCACAATATCCCAAGCCACCTTGAACAAATATGCAGTATACTCATCAGGCCCTGGGCTCTTCTCATTCCCTTGCTTGAACAGTGAACTTTGATTTCATCATTAGAAACCTCATTTAATAAAAAAAACAGCAGCATCACCAGGTATTTCATACACCAACAAGCCCTTAAGAAGATCCACATCACAGCTTTTAACCTCAACATCCTCAATACCAAGTAACTCAGTATAAAACCTCACCATCTCAGCAAAAATAGTCTCAAATGTATCTAGCCGGGAGTCATCCTCAGCATAAAGCAATCTGATAGTATTCTTCTTTCTTTTCCTCAACACAACAGAGTGAAAGAACTTAGTATTCCTATAACCCTCCTTTAGCCAATGAACTTTGGCTTTCTGCTTGTAAAAGAGGCTTCATCCACCTCAAGGTCATGAAGCTCATTATGAGTAGTATTCTCATCTCCTAAGAAACAACTAGCTTGTAAAAGATTTGCAAGCTACACTTGCTCAAGTTGGTCTCTCTTGACCTTAAACCTTCTGGAAATGTCCTCAAAATGACATCTGTTAAACTCCTTTAATCTCAACTTGATCCTTTTCAACTTTGTAAACAGGCAATACATAGCAGTTCCAGACACTTCAAGTTGCCAAGACTCCTTGACTATATTCTTAAAATCCCCATGACTAGCCCAACAATTGAAGAACTTAAAAGGCTTAGGTCTGTCAACATGATTTTCCTTGAAAAAAGAAATCAAAGCAAGACAGTGATCAGATACCCCTTGAGTCTTAAATTCAACAAAGGAATTTGGGAAATCCTCGAGCCACCGAGAGTTAATTAGAACTCTATCCAGCTTATGAGCTAAGTAATTCCCTTCTTGCCTATTAAAACATATAAATAGAGGCCCCACAAAAGGATGGTCAATAAGCACCAAGGATGATAAACAATTTCTTAATGCCTCCATATCAGCAGTATCGTAGGGTCCTAAACTCTCAAAATCGAAACTTTCCTCAGCATTAGCAATAATATTGAAGTCACCTCCTATTAACCAATAGGACACCCCCACCATGCTTTCCACCTCTTCCAATTGCCTCCAAAGATGTTGTCTATCAGCCCCATTATTACTACCATAAACAGCTGTTATGGCACTTCTATGGCCACTAATCTCACCAACTATAGACAAGGATTGGTCAAAAACTTTCAAAACTGCAAAATTTAGTCATTTCCTCCAAAATATCCACAACCTACCACTTTCAAAATACTCATGATTAGAGTAACAGTCCTAATCCAGTGAATAACAATCAATCAGTCTACCCATATTGACAGTCCTCACCCGAGTTTCCATAAGGAAAATAACATCTATATTGAGCTTGCCAAGTCTCGAAAACACTTGCACTTGCTTCAGCTGGTTATTGAACCCTCTGACATTCCATAAGCATGCAATCATTGAGCAAGAACAAGATTAACCTCCCCCCAACAACTCCCACAGCAACTCCCACAGACTTATCCATGAAATCTTTCTTTTTATTTTTCATTTCATTCAAAAGGGCAGTAACACCCATGGAAATAACTCGGGGTTTCCTAGCACCTTTTATACCAACAGATGTCACAAGAACCTCAAAATGATTCGAAGAACCAGCCAACAACTTCTTATCATTACCTCTCCCTTTAGCTTTCTTTTTCTGAGAAGATGCTTGCAAAACAGGAAAGTCCACTACAACAAGAAAAATAGCAGACTCTTCAATAACAACCATGCCTACTGGAGCCTCACTGATGGCCTTAGATTCTACCACCAGATCCTCTACCAACTCCTCCACTTGAGAACTCACCCAATTCTCCAACCCTTCACCAGCAGGATGGTCAGGTTCCTGCAATGCCTCAATTCCACCAACTATATCAACTTCAGGACATTTATCCTCTCATTTCTTCCTGCAGACCTGCACCACTGTAGGTTGAGGTTTTAGCACCTCTGAACATACTTTCTCACTGTGTCCAAAGACATTGCATCTCGAACAAAAAGGATGCATCCAAGGGACCACAACTCGAATCGATGTGGCTAACCCATCTTGTAGCGTAACATTAACAAATCTAGGCACTAATAGAAAAAACCCCTTTAATGACGCGCATTGCGCGTCATCTATGGGTGCGGATGACACACATTTTCCTGTCGTTGAAGCCACCGACATGAATTTAAGATGACGCGCAACTGTGCGTCATAAATTTATGACGCGCATTTATGACACGCATTTATGACGCGCATTTATGACGCTCATTGCACGTCATTGAAGCCCCCGTCATAAATGAAGACGACACACATTTGTGTGTCATAAATTTATGACACGCATTTATGACTTACATTGCATGTCATTGAAGCAAACATCATTAGAAAAGATGACACACATTCGTGTGTCGTGATTATATATCGTAAATTATATATCGTAAATTATATATATATATATATATATATATATATGTAGATTGACAATAATCAAACTAAATCACATTTAATGCCTCATAATACTAAATATATATAAGCAATCCATTTGCATACAATATATTAACATTAAGTTATCAAAAATATTGTAATCATATGTCGATACAAAATATCACGACATAATAAAGTTTTCCACATAAGATACTCATTCTTTGCGAATATCAAACATGTTGACGTTGCGGGAGATGTAACTCCTCTAGCTTCTTCTGTAATTTTGAAGTTACTTCTTCAGAGTCGAGAACTCTTGAAACATGCTACGAATAAGCATTGGCTTCAACTAAACTAGTAGGAACATTAGATGCACCAGCTGTTCCCGAACCCTTCCCAAAATTAGAGTTGATCACCTTTGGTTTCCACTCTTTATTTGAACCAACTGCTGATGACATATAGGAATTAATACTTTGCATATATTAATCAAGCATCAACTATCTTCAGGTGAGAACATAAAGTAGTCCAAACATTTGTAAAGAGCAAACATTTTCATTTATGGTTATCAAGTAATCACTCATCACTAAGTAATATGAAAAGAACGAAAAATCAAGTAAATAAGGTATCTTAAGCTTTAAAAGCTTTACTTTTCATTTCTCACAGTTACACTGTTATTTAAGGGGATACTTTAAAAGCTTCAATATGTCTTATTCATCATAAAATCCCATTTTTCTCCATTTAGTATCCAACAAGAAAGTGAAAGTAACAATTGCATCATCTAGAACTATTGAATCTACAAGACAAAAAACTTGATAATCATTTTTTGACCTTTTATCACCACAAGAGAGTTCTTATTGATCCTCATTATTCCACCTTCAGCAGTTTCTTGTACCCTTTTTCATCTAGAGTTCTTGAAAAAATCAAATTTCTCTTTTAAGTCTAGTACGTGTCTCACATTATCCACGAGAGGCATTATTCCCAATATAATTGTTCCTTTAGACATTGATTCAGTTATCGAAAACTAGTCTCGATTGTGACATGCTTAACACGTGTAATTAGAATCAAGAATTTACTCATTACTTACAATAGGGTCTATCAATAGAAGCAACTAACAATAAGTTTACCATCAATGTAATCTTACACTACGTTAAATTCACAAGGTGATAACTAAAAGTCTATAATAGCATCCAACTATATGTTTTTCAGCAGAAATAAAAAGAGCTTGACAATTCTTATTAATATGAATAGACAAGATGTTATCATAGCTGAATTTCCAATAATAACATCCTACTTCAAGTTAGTTGTATGACTAATGTGTATGTATAATACGACATATGTGTATCAGAAAAGTTTGCTTACATTCTTATTAACCAGCACTTCAAGTCCGTTCTCAACTATCTCTTTCATGAACTTACAAACATAATATCCACACTCGGTACCTCTCGACTGACGGGGACACTACAAACAATTTACAATAAACGATTAGTCAAAATGAAAGCTGCAATTTAAATAAGGAATGATCGATCGAAGTCCTAACCAAAACATTGATCCAATTGAGACTGACCCTTTTGTTAGATCCACTTTGAGCAGTGTACAATTTCATTTCCCTATAAAAATTGATGAAATATATCAAAGAATATACTATAATGTTTCGATAAATGTGGGCGATACCGGAATACATAGGCTCATAGTACTCCTGCTACAAAATAGATGATAGACAATAACCAGATCCTAACACCTAAACAATAATAAGGAAAACACAACATAATCAAAATGTTATATTAAGAAGAAAAACAAGACATGGAAGCATATAACTAAATTAACCTTCCCCTTTGATCCATGCTATAATAACGGCTATGATGTTCCACAGAAGGCATAGAAACAATCCTGCATAGAATCACTATAAATCACTGAATTGTCTCCAGTCCATGGCTTTACACCAAAGCCATTTTCAACTAAAGAGTTAACAAAATAAAAGCATGGTACAAAATATTACCCAATGCAATCTAGCAAAGAACTAACAGTATAAAATTAAAGCATGGTACACATAATTAGACAATGCAATTTAGCATGGTACAAATGAAGGCATGATACCTAGATGTATGCATAGAATCCTAAAAAGGAAAATATAGGAAAAACTTACATGCCTAAAAAATGTCAAAAATGCAACATACTGCAATCTTTGTAGATGAATTGGAATTTCACTGGCAATATCATGATGAATGATTGGAAAAAATGGTGGCCAATTTTTCTCTTCCACAACAATTCCAGCTGCAAAGCAGAGAAGTGAAACTGTAGCTCATGATAGAAATGAAGTTTTGACCATAAAAAGAAATAAAATAAGGTCAAAAATTTTGTAAAAAAGTATAGAGTAATCTAGACCAAATACCGAAGCTGAGAACAAAACGAAATGTGATCACCGAGACTAGTTAAATAAAGGAAAATGAAAGGTACATCTTGCCACTGCCTCTTCTTTCTGCCTCACTTCCTGCAAGGAGTAAGCTGACCAATGAAATTGTAGGGATGCTATGATCTTTCATGCTATTTATTTGAGAAATAAATGTGCAAGAATGTGAACTTGCAGCCTAAAACCATCCGAATGACTTAGTACACTAAAATAGATCGAGAAACACATGATATTCCACCAACAACCTGATAAAGTATCCTAACAGTATTTTATGATACTAGGATACTGGGATTATTGAGATAAATTTTTTCTTTCATTACATCAAATTCTAAATAGGTCGATGATACATTTTTAGAAGAGAAATGAGAGAGAAAAAGTAAATCTATGATTCAGTAGATCACAAATGAATTCAATGTTGTAAAATCTGTTATACAACATGCATGTTCCCGCCTTTTCAGTTCTGCTTCCTTAGCCTGTACTTTCTTGTTTAAATCCTACATTTAAACAGTAAACCATGAAAGTGAGATTCAGGGCTTAACCGAATAATGTAAATGAAATTTAGAGACATTTCTTTACCAACCTGATTATGTGATCCTCCTGAAGCTGTATCAAGAGGAATATCAATTGTTGCCCCACGGTCATAACTGAAACCGGCCCAGAGGTAGCGGTGAAAGTCTTGAGTTTGAGGCAGGTGGAACACTTGTAGTACTCTGAAAATTATTGACAATACGCATTCAAGAAGCAAGTAATATAAACAACTATTCTAGTATGCATGTTCCTCTCTATAAAGTGATGCATGTTCTCTAGCACTTTCTCGTTTCTGAATAACAACCTCATCACAAGTTTCACCTTAGAATTGGAATTTAAGGTATTAAATGAACTGCATTTTAATAAGCTCCCTGTAACAATGAGAACAGTATGCCAATGTTAAAATTAACATAGGGAAAATTTTAGATAAGATAAAAAAATTAATTTACTTACCCTTTGGTGTTTGTAGCCGTGGACCAGAAGTCAGAGAGCGTACAACTTCCTGCATATCATTACCAGAATGGTTGCCAAGATAAATTTGCGGTGATGGCCTCACTTTCCCCTTGTCTAAGTTCTTAAATGAAATCTCTCGAGACAAAGAAGATACTCCGTTGGGGCTCAATGATCTTGGTGATCCATCAACAACCTGCCTTTTTGGAGCTAAGCACCCTCTAGATTTTCAATATGTCTCTTACTCAAGATACGTGTACTTGAGATAAGTTTATTTTCCGTTTTCCCCTCAGCATCCAAACCTTGAAAATTCAATCGCAAAAGGATCTCAGTACATGATCTTGTCTGTGTGTTATTTTTATTCTCTGTTTGAAAACTAACCTTGCTTTTGGCTTTTAGTTTCCTCATCCAGCTTTCATTCTTCACAGAGCCAATCACCTTCAGAAACTTTCCGAAGCATTTCTCGCATACAATAACTTATCAATAGCATTAATAACATAAAACTCACCAGTTTTATCCAGTGGGTTCTCGCTACTGCCCTCAATATCTTCTTCTAACTTGGGATGGATTTTGGGAGAAATCTCGAATCTACCTCCAACGGCACTCTTGCTGCTTCCAAAATGTGAAGATGGAATTTGGATCATAGTTGAACTACCACCAGAACCTCCGTCCTTCATAGAATGAACTGACAAGTCTAGCTTCTGGGAAGAGGGCACCTTTTCGGATCCTAAACTACAAACTGACACTGAACTATGAGATGAATTATTACAGTCTAAATCCTTGTTACAATAACTAAAATCTATATTTCCATCACCGGCTCTACCAGCACATGAAATACTATCAACACGACATTCAACAACTTTAGAAGACGATCTTGCAGTTGCTTTACTTTCAATATTTTCAGACAAAATAGAAATCAACAAAACCCCAAATATTGGAATAGAGAACGAGGAATACATGTGGAAACCTTTGAATTTTGACTCCCTCGTCTGCGGTGAATGGCCAAACCAGTGGGAGGTTGCAAAGAGAAAAAGGGAAAAAGAGAAAAATGGGGAAGCAAGCGGAGTGAGGGAAGGAGCGGGAAAAGATGAAAATAATAGAGGGGGGAAAAATTAAAATATGACTTTTAAAGATGACACACAATTAAAATTGTACTCCGTGTTTTTACAAAAAAAATTATTATGACTATTAAATATGGCACACATTATTGTAAGTCATAAATCGTTCAGATTTTTTAAAAAAATGACATTTTTTTAATGACACATTTTTTTGTAAGTCATAAATTAGTGTGTGTCATCGTTCGTGTGTCATTAAAGGTATATTTTCTTGCAGTGAGGGATCGAATCCCTCATCCCAATTTCAATACAAACCTTAGCATACTCCAACCTCGACTTAGACGCAGTCATAGAGTCTATAGACAGAGGAACACCTAAAGCACTTGCAATGTAGCTTAACCCAACTCGTGAGTAAAGCTCCGAACCCAAACAGGAATTCGAGATAAATCGAAATATAATCGCTTCATGTTCGGTTCCAATTTTCTTAAAATCAATGGCTTGTTCTGAATATGCCACGGTCCGTTTTCTAAAACCCAGTCACTAGAAGATTTAGAGCTAAACGAAAAAACAAACAAATTGCTACCAGCTAGACTGACCTGAACACCCGAGCCCATCAGAGCTGTCGTCCATAGATTATTTACAATACGTTGCATAGAAGCAAACGGCGGAGCTGACCCAAGAAATTTCCCCACCAAGGACAGTTTCCATTCAAAAATACCAGCCTCAAAAACCTCCAAAGGCGGTTGAACAGATGGAATCGGGAACCCTTCTCGAATCACTGGAGGAAAATACTCCAAGGTTTGTTCGGCAGCACTCCCAAACAGCTTCCTCCAATCCATCAAACCAGCATTCATCATGGAAAAAGAACCAAGAAAGAACCAAGAAGAGAGAAACCGATCGAAAATCTCCAGAAAACCGTCGAAACCGCACCAGAAAACTCAGATCTCATTAACCCTGCTAACGTGCACCCAGGGAAAACCGTTGTTGTGGATAAGGAATAATTATAAAATATTATTTTATAAACCTCATATCTTTTGTTTTTAGTATTTTTCGATTGTCTTATCCATAGATAAATAAACGGAGAACTTCAAACTTTTTTGTGGCTTAAATCTTTTGATAAACCTCTTTCTTTTCTTTCCCTCTACTTTCACTGTCGAAATTTCAAAAAACAATATTTTCTCATTAATTTCAATACTTTCACTTCTCAATATACAAATGGGCAAACGAAGGAGTGTCGTTTTCCATTCCTCTAAGGGGAAGTCATAGATTCAAAGAGAAGGATAAACTGCAGAGATGTTCAAGTGCTAATGTTTGGATAGCTTGTGAAGGTATAGCAGTGGAACCAAAAGCAGAAAATTTGCACAACAAAATTTCAGCACTACTGATAAAATGTCATCAAATGACAATAATAAACACAGCTCTCTCATTGATCGAAGGAACGAAGTCAATGAACCGGTTCAAATTATCGACGAAGGCAACGTTCCGAAGTCCCAGTCAGAAAGTTGGTCTAAAAGTGCTGATTTAAGCCTCGACCGAAACCTCTGATGGTCTAAAAGTCCCGGTTCAAGCCTCGACCGAAACCTCGGAACAATGTAGATGCCAAAGCAAGTAGTGCAGCCCATAGGAACTCATCGGATAATGGAGAAGGCAGAGGCAGAGGAAATGTCAAAGAGTTCACCGAAACCCAGAGTCAACATTGCCACCGAGAATCATAGCTCTAGATTGAAGCAAAAGGATAAAAAATCGAACACTAATGGCTCAGAAAAAGACACTGGTTAGTTCATCTGGTTTTCACTATTTTAACATCATTTGACATTATCTCTTTCAATCAGTACACCATGAATTTTCAAATTTTGAGCACTTATTATCCACTTGCTTTATTCTGGAATCAGTTTCTGATGGCTCTAAGACTATTTCTGAAGATCCAATAGAGTCGTCCGAGGTCAACTTTTCGGTATGTCATACATGAGTTCTCTTCGTATCTCTCTGTACAGTTCCAGTAAAATAGTAGATATATTCCAGTTTTCATTCCAAATTACATGACAGTTAAACGACATTGAGATCTTCCAAATAGAAGACCCGACACCAAGTGAGAATTTTGCCACAATATGGCATGGATCATGAAGAAATCCAGGTAACAAAATTACACTAAAAGCACCTATAAACATATCCATAAACTGATAAACACCTAGGTCACTTCACATTTTTTCAGCCGGTTAATTCGTCGTAATGCAGACCATCGATGCTAAAATCCGGCAATGGTCTGGAAAACAGGAACATATCCGTTCACTGTTGTCAACCTTACAATATATTAGGATCCTCCAAATATATAGAGAAACATGTACTTATATTTGACACTCGCAATGGAATGTAAGAAAGACTAACATTGGTAGTAAAAACAGGTTCTTTGGGCCGATAGTGGTTCGAAACCGGTCCCAATTACTGATATAATTGAAGGACGAGCTGTTAAAAAATCATACCAAAAAGCTCTACTGTGTCTTCATCCAGATAAACTACAGCAGAAGGGAGCTGCCTCCTATAAAAAATACATTGCAGAAAAAGTCTTTGATATTCTGCAGGTAATGTATGGTTCCTGTAAACATTTCTTCTCATATTGATTGCAGTAAAATTCCTGATATCGATATCCAACATATATCTAAACATAAATACTTAAAAAAATGAACGTATTCGTATCTAAAACTCTCATCCAAATCCTATAGTAATTCTTTGTGATAATAGAAGTAAAGCTTAGAAATTTGTCCATGGTGATGGTGTTGGCCTACCAAATCTGTTTGATATGATCAATTATTGTACTTGGATACAACTGGGCAAGCGTTCCAGACAGACCGTGTAGGAAACTGTCATAGGATGAAGTTTCGTACACGTGGGATGACTGGTTGTTTGCCCACAATCTGTTTAAACTGCATACATTTCTTTTATAGGACAAAAACCCTAGCTGTTACTTATCACCGTGTTGGTCCGGACTTGGAGATTTTGTTTGAAATAATTGTATCCGACACTCATTCGATACATATCTAACATGAGTGTAAGGATAATACCGTTCGAATACATGAAAAAATGAAAAAACTTTCAGGATTATGCTTTTAACTATGATTATGCATGACAAATTTGGTTTTAGTTCAGACAGTACAATGTATGATTCACCTGTTGCCATTTCAGGATGCATGGACTCAGTTTAACTCGCTCAACTCGATCTGATTTACTATTTTCTCGATCAATAGCGACATTTCATCCGTTCAAGAAAAAAGCAAGATTTGGAGTTCATCGAGACATCTTTTACAAACCATTTTTACATTTATGAAAATTGAATAATGTTTTATACAGAAAGGGCTCTCTTTTTTGTTGTTGTTAAACTGCTTTATTATTTGTTAGTACAGCAATGGAGTTCAAAGAAGAAATCCAATCCAATCAGAGCCTGCAACAATGCTGATTGGCGAAGATAGTTTATGTACATGCCGTTTAGACTATGACACACTTGACGTTTCATATTTCCTATCATATTGTTAATTTAGTAAATAATTACAAAAGTAATTAAGTTTTTATTGGATTATCCAACCTGATTTATGGACAAGTTAATGATTAAATAAAAAATAAGGGAAAGAAAGCGTGGAAGCCATTGAGGAGCGGAGTTAAAAAATGAAAAAACTACGAAGGAAAAGAAGAAGAGGGGGGGGGAGGGATTAAGAGGAACAGAGAAAGGGGGAGAAAGAGAGAGAAAGCTTCTATGGCTTATCCTTCATTATCTCTTTTAATGATAAAACGATTCATCATCATCATCTTATTACTCTTCTGCTTTTTCTTGTTTTCTCTCCGTTCGCCGCCACACAGAAACTCGAAGCGTTTCCTTCGGTGCCAACTCAGCTTCGATTCTGTAGTGGCGGCTTGCTTTCCGTTCCACGTTGAATGGCCTTCTTCTCTCGACCTGTACGGTCCCCACCTCTCTCTCTCTCTCTTTGTTTCCCATTTCTTTTTAAATTTGCTTTTCGATATGAACATTTGTTGAAATTATGGGCTTAAATCCGTCTGATCCTCTGATCTATCACATTCTTGTTGTTCTTTTTGTTTTCTTCTTCTGGGTAAGAACGGTTTTTTTTCTTTTTGTAGATCTGAAGTGATTCTTTTCTTCTTATCAAATTTATTACCAATAATGATTGCTCCTTTTCCCCCACACGTATATAAGTAAACTAATTACATTTCCGTCGGGAAAAGGATTTGGAAAATGCGGGTTTGAAAGTTAAATCTGCTGCTATATGTCACTGTTCTTTTTCCTTTCATATGTAGTATCATTCTGTATTGGATTTGTTTCCCTTTTTCATGGCTGTGGGTGTTAATTCGTTGATATATCTGGGAGAAGTTTTGTATAAAATGCTGGGAAAATTAAATTAACTAGCATTTTGATATTCTGTTTGGTTATTGTTATATTCTTCATGGATTTGGTTTTTTTACGGCAACAATAGGTTTTAATGTGTATAAGAGTGTACAAAAATCAATCCTTTTTATGTGATTATTCTTTGTCATATGATAAACCAGTTTGCTTCTCCTTGTATTTGACTTGTTCCATAGCAGATTTTTAGGGTGTGTTTGGTTGAGTAGAAAAGTAGAAGGAAAATAAATTTCTGGTAGGAAAGAAAATAAAAACGTAATCATTGTATATTGTGTATACACACTGTTGCCCCATTTTGTTTTTATGGTATTTCCACACAGTGGTTTGTCTCAGGTAAAAATACTTTTAAAGATGTTATGTTGTGCAATCTTTGGATACAAAAGCTGTTCATCGGCTTCGTTTCCAGTATCCGTTTTTCTCTTGCATTTCCTCTATGGTGATTGTGAAAGAACTTACTTCCTTCGAGACGAACAGCTAATGTTTGCTAATGTTGCCCCAGGTTGTGTAGGCATTAATTGAAGTCTGTTCTTACCATTTAAGAAAGATGGAATTTGAAAAAAAGAAGAGATGGAAATTCACGGTGTCACGCCTTTTCAAAAACAAATCAGCTTCTCGTTGCTTTTTCCCAAAGGTGAAGCCGGCTAGGTTTGGTCCGATCTGTACTCTTGTGTATCTGAACGTTTACGACCTAACGCCCATGAATGGTTACGTTTACTGGGCAGGCCTTGGTATCTTTCATTCTGGTGTGAAAGGTTGGTTGATAAGATTTTTACTAGAAAACATTTTATGACTGCAATGCACTTAAATATGCAAAATGCTTACTTTGGCAATCATGTCATTGTTAACGGGTTCTTGAGTTTTACTTGTTGCTTTTCCGATGACTCGACCTATATTATGTGTAGTTCATGGTGTGGAATATGCATTTGGAGCTCATGACTACCCAACCAGTGGTGTTTTCGAGGTTGTGCCACGACAGTGCCCGGGATTCAAGTTTAAGAAATCGGTGTTCATTGGGACCACAACACTGGACCCTGTCCAGGTAAGGGATTTCATGGAGCACTACTCGGAAAGGTACAATGGAGATACATATCACTTGATCGTCAAGAATTGCAACCATTTCTGTGATGATATTTGTCAGAAGCTAACTGGGAAACGGATTCCTAAATGGGTAAATCGACTGGCAAGAATAGGTACATTGTTACATCCCCGTCTTCCAAGATCGTAGATCATTTCTCGGATATGTCACCTGTGTATTCCCATGTCGCATTTGTTGCCATCTCAAACCTGTCTGTGTCAGGTTCAATGTGCAACTGCGTTCTTCCTGAAGGCCTTAGAACTTCAGTTGTAAAGCACGATCCGAATTACAAACCGCAAGATAGTGAGAAGAAGAGACTGAGATCGAGCTTTAGTTTGCTGTCTTCGGTGTCGCGGCAGCAGAAATCTTCGCTACTCAGTCATCCTCTAGAGACCTCCTACTACCATCATCGGAATCGAAAAGATAAATCAATGTTTTATTTTGAAAGGAAAAGGAAAGAAAACTAAGTGGTTGGGGTTTTCTCTTTGGCATTTTGGGGTGCAAGCTCCACAGAAAAGGCTTTGATGGTTGAAGATTTGTTTGGTGTTGTGTTCTTGTTTCTTTAGTGAGTAGTCATGTTTGCAACACAACACCAAGGTGCTGAAAAAAGATGCTGATTTATTCCAGTCTGAACAGGCCCTAATTAATGCAAGTGTCTAAATTAATGTAATTTTTTAATTTTTTTATCGTTTAGAGGTGGAATTCTGAAATTTATGAGATTATTAATAATATTATTAATTTATTATTAGACATTGAACCTGTTTTTAAGAATAATTGAACAATTTCAAATCTTTTAAAGAAATTTGAAATGAAATTTAGTTTAATATGCATCATTATTATTTATAAATAATTATAATTTAAGTGATTGGAATTTAATGAAATAGAAAAAGGAATGACACTAGTTTTCCTTAATTTTGTGGTGATTTTATTAGAAAAGTTGTATTGTTGGGTAAAGTACAAAAATGGTCCTCCGGCTATTAAAAGTTACAAAATAATCCTTTGTTTATAAGACATTGTTTGTCTTTGCCTATTAAAAGTTACAAGATAGTCATCCGACTATTCATTGTGTTCAAAACTCGTCATTTTTCGTTAAAAAATTTATGACAATTTTAATTGCACGTTAATCTGCAAACTGAGGTATGATATGTTAGATTTGGCTTGAAATTAAGTTGGCAAGTTAAAAATTTCATCTTGGTTGGTGGCCAAACTTTGAACATGGGAATTTCATATTTGGTGGTTAACTTGTACACATTGGAAAATTCTTTGGTAGGTGACCAAACTTTGAACATGGAAATTCCATATTTGATCTCTAAAATATTAGGTTATTTATAAGTTTAGTCCTTAAAACTCAACTATAAATAGGCCTAAGTATTTCTATTAAAAATCATCCCAAAACAAGTTATCTCTTCCATTTGTTTTCTTCATTCTCTCACTTTGGGAATTCTAAAGAATTCCATTTATTGTAATATTTTGTTGATAGTGAAGTTATCATCCGGTGTGGTGCCCGAGGAGTAGACGATATTCTCGTTGAACCTCGTAAATTTGGTGTGTTCTCTCATTAATTGTTTTTTATTCATTTTTTCCATTGAGTTTCAATACTCAATAGTTTGATAAGTTTATCCGTTGTACAACCTTTGGTGGTTTTGATCTTGACATTTTAGGTCAATTTTGAAACTACGTTCGTGTGGGAAATAACCCGATTTCCCCAACAGTTGGTATCAGAGCTTCGGTTGAGGTTATCCTGGTGGTTCCGTTGCTAAAAAGATACAGTTCGTGATATTGAATATTGTTCGTTGGAATTAAAATATCAAAATACGGATCAATTGAGACATCAAGCTCTTCATCCGGACCGGTGAGGAGGATGATGTCAAATGCAAAATTCTCGGTGGAGTTGTTCGATGGATCCGATCATTTTGGCATGTGGCAAGGCGAGGTGTTAGACGCTTTATTCCAACAAGGTATAGACATCGCCATTGAGGAAGAAAAGCCCGAATATATGGAAGAGAAAGAATGGGGAACAATCAATCGTTTGGCGTGCAGCACGATTCGATCTTGTCTTTCCAGAGAGCAGAAGTATGGCTATAAGAACGAGACTTCTGCAAGTAAGATGTGGAAAGCATTGGAGGAAAAATTCCTACAGAAAAGCTCTCATAATCGTCTCCACATGAAGAAAAGATTGTTCAGATTTGATTATCAACCAGGCACCAGTATGAATGAACACATCACTGCGTTCAATGAGCTAGTGGCAGACTTATTGGGCATGGATAAAACCTTCAAAGATGAAGATTTGGCCTTGATGTTGTTGTCATCTCTTCCAGATGAATTTGAGAACCTTGAGACAATGTTACTTAATGGTAAGGATAATGTTACCCTTAAAGATGTAACTGATCTTTGTATAGTTATGAGCTCATGAAGAAAACCAAGAAGGAGAGCAAGTATGAAGTAGCGAAGGCCATGGTGGCAAGAGGTTGCTCGAAAAGTCAAAATCCAAAGTGGAGAGGGAGATCAAAGTCGAAGTCGAAGTCCAGACTGGGAAAAGATGAATGTGTCTTTTGTCATGAGAAAGGACATTAGAAGAAAGATTGTCCGAAGCTGAAGAAAAAAGGAAAAGATGCTCCAGATACATGTGTTGCAGAGCATGATGCAAATGACTCTGACATATCATTGGTTGTTTCATCAACAACATTCCATTCAAATGAATGGATATTATATTCGAGTTGTACCTATCATATGTCCCCTAATAGGGAGTGGTTCTCCGATTTAGTAGAACTAAATACAGGAGTTGTTTATATGGGCAATGACAATGCCTGTAAAACTGTTGGGATAGGTTCAATTCGACTGAAGAATCAAGATGGATCAACCATAGTTCTGACTGATGTCCGATACGTGCCCAGTTTGAAGAAAAATCTCATCTCGTTGGAATCCAAAGGCTCAGTAGTCACTATGAGAGATGGAGTTTTAAAAGTCACATATGGCGCACTTGTGATGATGAAGGGCATCAGAAAAAATAATTTGTATTACTACCAAGGTAGTACAATTATTGGAGCAGTTGCAGCAGCTTCCGGAGGTGATGATTTGGACACAACCCAGTTGTAGCATATGCGGTTGGGACATTCTGGAGAGAAATCCTTGCAAATTCTGGTAAAAGAAATGATTGTTGAAAGGTGTAAAGGCTTGTAAATTAAACTTTTGCGAGCATTGTGTTCTGGGAAAGTAGAACAGAGTGAAGTTTGGCACCACTATACATAATACAAAAAGTATTGTGGATTATATACACTCAGATGTATGGTTCCTTCAAAGACATCGTCTTTGGGAGGAAACCATTATTTTGTAATTTTTGTAGATGACTTTTCCAGAAGAGTTTGGGTGTATCCGATGAAGTCTAAAGATGAAGTGCTTCGAATTTTCCTTAAATGGAAAAATATGATCGAGAACCAGACTGCTATAAAGATCAAACGTCTTAGGACGGACAATGGAGGGGAATATAAAAGTGACTCATTCTTTGACGTTTGCCATGAGTATGGTATTGTTCGACACTTCACTGTTAGAAATACACCATAACAGAATGGGGTGACAGAGCGTATGAATCAAACATTATTGGAGAAAGTTTGATGTATGTTGTCTAATGCTGGGTTAGGCAAGACATTTTAGACTGAGGTTGTGACATATGTTGGCCATCTCATCAATCGTCTGTCGTCATCAGCGATAGGAGGAAAAACACCATTGGATGTATGGTCTGTAAAACCTACTACTGATTATGATTCCTTACATGTATTTGGATCCGCTGCTTATTATCATGTGAAGGAATCCAAGCTTGATCCGAGAGCAAAGAAGGCTCTTTTTATGGGAATCACCCATGGAGTGAAGGGATTCTGCATTTGGTGTTTAGATACCAAGAAGATAATTTGTAGCAGAGATGTTACCTTTGATGAGTCTGCCCTAGTAAAAAAGGTAACAAATGAAGCTTTCCAGACAAGTAATACTCCGCAGCAGGTGGAGCATACTCCAAAATAGGTGGAATTTCAGCATTTGATGATCCCAGAAGTTGATGCAGCTGATTCTTCAACTTTAATAGAAGAATCAGAAGATGAAGAGATTCAAACCCAAGAACCATTGGAGACACCAGAACCACTTGCAGTTACAAGGCCAAGGAGAGAAATTCGTAGACCTGCTCGATTTGTTGATATGGTGGCCTATGCTCTTCCAGTTGTTGATGATGATATCCCTATCACTTACCAAGAAGCAATACAAACTTGGAAAGTGATAAATGGAAAAGTGCCATCGATGAATAAATGCAATCTCTCCAAAAGAACAACACTTGGAAACTAACACAATTACCAAAAGGTAAAAGAGCAATTGGATGCAAGTGGGTATTTGCAAAGAAAGATTGATCTCATAGCAAGAAAGATGTTCGCTACAAAGCACGGTTGGTAGCTAAAGGCTACGCTCAAAAGGAAGGAATCGACTACAATGAAGTATTTTCCCCTGTTGTGAAGCATTCCTCCATTAGAATATTGTTGACATTGGTAACACAGTTAAATTTGGAGCTAGCTCAACTTGATGTAAAGACGGCTTTCTTGCACGGTGATTTAGAAGAGGAGATCTATATGACTCAGCCAGAAGGATACAAATATGGTGATTGTGAGAAATGGGTTTGTAAGCTGAACAAATCGCTATATGGATTGAAGCAATCTCCGAGGCAGTGGTACAAGCAATTTGATAGCTTTATGAGGAGGCAAAAGTACACTAGAAGCAAATATGATCATTGTGTGTATTTGCAAAAACTCAAAGATGGATCTTTCATTTATCTTCTCTTGTACGTTGACGATATATTGATCGCTTCGAAGAGTTAAAAGGAGATAGACAAATTAAAGGCTCAGTTGAATCAAGAGTGTGAGATGAAAGATCTAGGTGATGCCGAGAAGATTCTTGGTATGGAGATAAGAAGAGATAGACATAGAGGGAAGCTTTGTTTAACACAAAAGCAGTATCTAAGAAAGATATTACAATGTTTTGGCATGAATGAAAATACCAAACATGTAAGTATTCCACTGGCTTCTCATTTGAAACTTAGTTCTCAATTATCTCCTAAAACTAACGAATAACGAAAGTATATGGCAAAAGTTCCATATGGTAATGCAATTGGGAGCTTGATGTATGTAATGGTGTGTACGCGTCATGACATTTCACAAGCAGTTGGAGTTGTGAGCAGATAAATGCATGATCTTGGAGAAGGACATTGGCAAGCTGTGAAATGGATTATACGGTATCTCTAACAAACAGTGGATGTTGGTTTAGTTTTTGAACAGGATGAAGCACTTGGTCAGTGTGTGGTTGGATATGCTGATTCCGATTTTGCTGGTGATTTGGATAAGCATCGATCAACTATTGGGTATTTGTTTACTCTTGCTAAAGCCCCAGTAAGTTGGAAGTCTACATTGCAATCTACGGTGGCCTTGTCTACTACAGAGGTAGAATACATGGCAGTTTCAGAGGCTGTA